TGTTTGTCACAAGGGATCTAGGGTGAACAAGACATGTGGTTCTGGCCTCATGGGTCCTATGGAATAGTGGGCATGAGAGACAGTGTGGATGCTGTGAGTGGGTGTGCGAGACCGTGTAGACACTATGACCAGGATAAGATTGGGCTCGGCTGGGGTGATCAGTGGTCGGGAAGAGGGACCCTCGCCCAGAATGAGGCCTGGAGGAAATTCAGGAAGTGTTGCAAGGGAAGTAAAGTTTAAGCTGAGACCTGAGCAAGAAGCAGTATCAAGAGGAGTAAGTTGGGGCTGTGGGTTCAAATATATACATATATCATTTTTCTTCAGACTCAGAATTTTCACACGTTGAAACATCACAGTCTTTGTAACAGGTCAGGTCATTCTCTGACTATCTCACAAAACACACTTCTTGTTCATGTGAGAGGGACGGTTAGGTGGCGTGCCCAAGAACCCCAGTCCCTTGGCCTGCCAGGTTCCAGTCCTGTGTGGACTCCTGGCTTCACGTTCTGATTCACTCTTGTCCCGTGCAGCCTGTGTTCACAGAATAACCAAAGTGATCCTTCTACAGTGTAGGTCCTATGTGTTCACTCCTTGCCTCTGAGACCTCGGGTGATTTCCCACCCAAGTGTGGGCCAGGGCCAAACCGTCCCTGGGCCCTCTCCGACCTCATTTCTTACTCTTCTCTGCTTGGCCCTCCTACCAGCCGCTGGCCTCTCTTGCTGGTCTTCAACCAGGAGGGCTTGGCATTGTCCTCCAGGGGACGCCACTCACCTCGGAATACAATGCTATTTGGGGCCTTTGCTCCTGATGGTCCCTTTGCTGGAACCTTCTTCCCCAGGACTTGAACTCTGCTCTCCCCTTCGTGCCATTTAGGTCTCCCTGGCAACGCTGTTTCAGACAGCCCCATTATTCTCTCCCTCCTCCCCGCTTCAGTAGCCTGTGGAAGAAGATCATAGCTATTTACTTATCTCTCTGTTGTCTGTGTTCCTCACTCCATGTAAGGTCTGAAGCAGTGTCTGCTACCTGATCACTCTCGAGTTACTCTGGGTTCGATGTAACCTGGGTCAGGGAAATGCTTGCCCAAAGGGAGGCACAGAACTTTCTGGCCGAACCTCTCAGTTTCCACTGTTAATAACCAATTATTTTTGCTCATGTAATCCATCTACTTTAAGTTTTATCTCTTCTGACTTTTATCTATGTAGTCTAAACTGGGGGGAAGTTGATTTAACATTCCTGGGACGATTTCCTAGTTATTTTTTCATGTTCCTGTCTTAGATCTCAATCTGTCTTTTCCGTTCTGCTGAAAAGTCCTGAATGAAGGTGGTGTTCCCTCTCTTACATGGATCGCCTTAAACACGAAGACTCATGCTTTAAACGTAATTGTCTTGGATCTTTTACATCTGATGGTTTTGTAATTGCTTTTCCTAGATATTCCCCCTTCTCCACTTTATCTTGCACAGCTGTCTGCTTTCTTAGAACCAGAACAAATGTGGTCCCAATTAAGTTTTCCATAAACATCGGCCAAAACCTTTTCCCTGATCTCAATGTCGTTTCTTATCCTTGCCCAAGCCTCGGGCTTTCTTTGAGGCCCAGTGCAAACCCCTGCTCTCCTGGAAGGCTTTCCTGGCCTGCCCACCCTAACAATCCTTCCTTCTTCTGAGTCACTGCTGCCCCCAGAGCCTGGGCCGCCACACGCCATCGATCCCATGCTGGCTGCCCGGCGGACCCTCCGACCTTGCGTCCTGCCGGACTCACTCCCTAAGCGTCTGCAGAAAGGAAACAGCCTCCTGTCACTGTCTCATCATCGAAGCTCCGTCCTTCTGGTCTACCCGGTGGAAGAGTCAGCTCTTTGAGAGTCAAGAACCTACCTTGCCTCTGCAGCTCATCAAGACACTGGGATGGACTAAGTTTGCTACCCTTGTCTTGATTCACTGATTATTCGTTTATGTATCTGTAATCCGAACAGCTAGTGACCAATATTCACCCTTTCCATATTCCTGTTATGGAGCTCCCCAAACCTAATCCACATCTCTCAATCTGCTTTTTACAAAATTGTGTATTGACTCTATTAGAAAATGTCCTCTGTCACGCATCCATTTTTTGGTCTGTTCACTTATTTCACAAATTTTTACCGTGTGGCCACTCTGCTGGGTGCCGAGGTTCAGGGTGAGAGGAACCCCCATGGCTCCTCCTCCAGGGGGCCGAGGGTCTGGTTGGGGTGGGAGACGGTTATGGACCTGTAAACCAACATACACCTGTGTCACCACAGAGTCGGGAAGGGTTGCGAAGGCCGTGAGCAGGGCGCTGTGACACGAAATAAGCAAGGGACAGCTACCAGGGATGGTGCGGGGAAAGCCCACCTGTCTAGCATTGAAGCTGGGAGCTAACACGTAAGAAGGAGCCCGCCCTGTGAGCAGGTAGGAACAGGGACTTCCAGACAGTGGGCTGTCTCAGGGCTCTGTGGGGGACGGCTTGTCACTTCTGGAACTGAGGGCCAGGCAGCCGGGGAGCTCCTGGAGCGAGAGGGGTCCGAGGGGTCAGCTCAGTCAGGCCCGCAGGACTCTGCCCACGGAAGGGAGTCAGATGTCATTCTAAGAGTGATTGGAAGGGACGATGATACTTTCATTCTAAGAAAATCATTTTCACTGCTGTGTGGGAAATTGGTTGTAGGGGTGAAATGGGACAGGGACTGTCACCAGAGGAAATGTGTCATAGACAAGGGGAGAGAGAATGCTGCTTTGACTGCAGTGGTGGCAGCAGAGATGACACAAAACATCCGGGTTCCCCACGTATTCTGCAAACAGAATCTGTTAATATCCGCTGATGGGATAGATTCGGGTTAAGGAAGAGGAAGCAACCAGGTGTGATTTCTCGGTGTCTGGCTCGGACCATTTGCCAAGACGGTGAAAAAAAGAGTTAAGTTATCTCGCATATCACTTCTTCTATACGTGGTCTTTACAGGGTCAGCAAAAATGCCAGTGTTTCTTTATTTCATATCCCCCTCCTCAACCTTGCAGAGACTTCTGACGCCGAGCTTTCTCCATAGAGTGACTTCATTGCCTTGTCATCTCAAATCTTCCAGAAATGTTTTCTTTTGGTCTTAACTATCTGATTTTCATAATGTGTCTGTCTCAGGGGTGTTGCTTTCCTTCTTCTTTACAGAATCAGTGGTCGGCGCACACACGCACGCAGATACCGGTGCAAACACAAAGCTTGGAGTAACGGTCAACCAAGTACATGATAGCTGCTTTCGCATGAGCCCCCATTCCTTGGAGATGCCCTTTGTAGTTCTGTTTTGTTTATTTTCCATTTTAGTCCTTTAATCTTTCGTCTGTTTCTAAACTTCTCCTTATTGCAAAGAGTTGTGTTTAAAGCTCTTCACTGCTAGCTTTTCCCCCATGTGTTTGAGTTTCTCTCTGGAGCTATTGTGTTTTCTTTTTAACATTTCCTGATGTCCATCGTGCGGGGTTCGGACAACTTGAAGTAAACTCTGCCAGACGAGAAATCCACTGTCTCTGTTATTCTCTCTGCAGCTTTGGGGCAACGTTATCACATAGTTTTTCATTTTCTACCTTCAAGTGGGATTATAAATTCAAATATATTAGCTTCCAGTTAGGACTACATTGTCATTCCTCCAGTATGGCTAAGGGGTCAGTCTTTCAGTCCCTTCAGAAACACTGCTATTATTATTTTTGTTACTTAAGTTACAGTATTCCACAAAGCAGTATTCTGTTCTCCCATAGTGAACTCTTTTTTTTTTAAACTCTTCACCCGAGGACATTTTTGCATTTATCCTCAGATAGAGCAGGAGGGAGAGACGGAGGAAGAGAGAGACACATTGATTGGTTGCCACCCACATGACCCCAACCGGGACGAATCGCAACCGAGGTATGTGCCCTTAGGGGGAACTGAACCCGGGACTCTCTGGTCCGTGGGCCAACGATCTAACTGCTGAGCCGAACTGGCCAGGACCCATAGTGAACTCTTCGTGTTTGGGATTCAAATGTGCCTATGAATGAGGTTGAGCCCCAGAATGTTAAATTTTGTTTCTTGATCCTCTTGACTCTGCCGCCGGAATCAGTTCTGTTTGCATTTCCACAAGAGGCATTTTCAGAAACATTTACCTCAAGAGACTGTTAATGATGGATGGACCAGTCCAGACTGTTGCCCACAACCAATCAAAAAGCAGCAAACACCTAACGGACTGTACACCTGTCCCAGATCCCCACTTCACCTTTTCCTGTCCCCCTTATCTGCAGCCAATGTAACTGTCCGAATAACTTAGATCTTTCTTCTCCCCACTCAGTATACTCAAGAACCCCATCAATCCAATGGGGACATACTCATTGTCTCCGTCCAGCCCTGCTCAGGGGGTTTAGACGGTATTCCCAGCACCTGGTCCTTCTCCTGGTTAGCATAGGGCTCAGTAAACCCTTTCTTTCACAAAGACTTTGGCCGCGAAGATTATGTTTAACGTGGGGTATATACTAGGGTTCTCTGGAAAGATATGATTTGCATTCTCATCTTGCTCTTCCATTTTCATGAATTGGTGATAGTTGGTAATTATAACAAAAGGCAGGATCCCTGACTCAACAGCAGTGAACTTTTTGATACTCGATTCAACAAACATTTATTGATGACCTCTTTTACATTTTCTTCTAGTACATAATTAATTACCCTTTAAAAGCTTTTTCATAAAGCAAAGCAAAACAAAAGTCGACACTCCCATTTAGACACAGTCCTGTATTCCCTGCTACACTGTATCCATTAGCTCGCGCTGCATAGCAAACAACCCAAGACTTAGTCGTTAGAATAACCACCATTCATTCAGCTCGTGATCCCTGTGGGCTGGCGATTCCGGCCGGGCTCAGCTGGCCCCTGGCTAATCCACGCGCAACGAGGAAAAGAACTTTGTACCCGTTTATGAGTTATTATGTGTGAACACGGTTTCATTTTTATTTTTATTTTTTTTAACCCATCCTCTCGTCTGCGTTTTCTGGCAGGATACTTCGGATCCGCCTGCGAAGAGAAGGTGGACCCGTGCGCCTCGTCACCCTGCCGGAACAACGGCACCTGCGCCGCGGCCCCGGACGGGGTGCGCTTCAGCTGCAGCTGCAGTGCCGGCTTCACGGGCCCGGCCTGTGCCCAGCTGGTGGACTTCTGCGCGCTCAGCCCCTGTGCGCACGGCACGTGCCGCAGCCTGGGCACCAGCTACAAATGCCTCTGCGACCCAGGTGGGTGCCGCCGTCCCCTTCATCCCCAGTCTCAAAGCCTTCTGGCTGCTTTTTCGCGTCTGCACCAGTGTTGGTCTCCTGAATGTGTTTACTTGCTAATGTAAGTGACCTCCACACTTCTTCCCTAGACTTACTCTCGGCAGGGTTTTAAAAATGCCCTTTCCTCTTTTTATGAGCAGTTCACGACCGTAGAAAAGTAAGAAAATACAAGTAAGCAAAACGAAGACCATTAAAATCAGGTTAATCTTGTAGCAGCTTAATTCTTTTTTTTAAGCAATTTATTTGAGGTCGTTCCACAGCTTTGACTGTATTGCATATCTTTTAATACTGTGTTCTTAGGTTAATGGGATATGTTTTTCTATTTTACTGTGCGTAAAAAACGGAATGCTATCCGTTAGGAATTTTATTATCTAGTAAAATTCTCACTCTGTGCACAGTATGTGACAGGAAGGGCGACTCCCTGTGTAAAGGTTCAGCAGTTCCATCACTTATTTTACGCATGTCTTTTTACCGATTTTTTTATGGTGTGAGTTTTGATGCTCAGAAGTCAGAGTGTTTGCCAGTCAAAGTCTGTGTCTGCACCGCCCCCCGGTGTGGTCTGAAACCCTTCCTCCCCAGCACGGTTCTGCACAGGTGCCCGTGACCATCAGCACGGCTGACCAGTTCCCTGGGTTTGCCTGGTTCCCGGCGGCCCTCTGCCGTGTTCTCCGTGGTGCCCGCTCCCCTGCCACCCCGTGCCACCTGCGGACCTCTCCTCCTGGGGCTGCGCCAGCTTTCCTCCTCGAGTTCCAGTGATCACCCGCAGTATCACTCGCCTGGCCTTGAAAACATTATATGTCTTGTCCTTGTATATCTCTCTCCCTCTTGGGGTGGGAGGAGGTATGTTTTATCAGTTACTCTTGTCTAACGTGATAGCCCCAAGCCACCACTTTGAGAACGTTGCTCTTTCTAGACTCTAAGCTGGTGTTTCACGTGTGACCCCTGCAAGGCAGACGTGGCTGGACCGTAGTTACGCCAAGGCATGAATGCCTCGTACCTCAGCTCAGTCTGTGCCTGTGGCCACACACCCAGTAGGGGCGGAACCCAGATTCTAACCCAGGCGCCCCGGTTCCACAGCCCCCAGACTGTTCAAGGGGCACACCTCAGACTCATGAATCAGAGATATTAATGGGAAATACAACTTAACACGGAAGAGTGTTGACAAACCTTTTTCATTTAGGCTTTTAATTTTTAATTCTATAGTTTTCTAAGCAATCCAGGGTTTGACTATATATATGCTTATATATACACATACATATTGCCTTTTTTTAAAAAATCCTCACCCAAGGACATTTTTGCATTTATCTTCAGATAGAGCAGGAGGGATTGAGGGAGGAAGAGAGAGAGAGAGAGAAACATTGACGCGAGAGAGGCACATCGACTGGCTGCCACCCACACAACCCCAACTGGGGCCAGGGACAAACTGCAATAGAGGTACGTGCCCTTAGCGGGAACTGAACCCGGGACTCTCTGGTCCGCAGGCCGACGCTCTAACCGCTGAGCCAAACTGGCCAGGGCCACATACATACTGATTTGAAGGAACTGGCTCATGCAATGAGAACTGGCAAGTTCCACATCTGTCGTGCAAGTTGGCAGGCTGGGAACTCAGGCAGGGTTCCTATGTCACCGTTTGGCACCTGAATTTCTTCTTCAGGAAACCTCAGTCTCTGTTTTTAAGGCCTTTAACTGATCAGATGAGGTCCGCCCACACTTTGGAGAGTCCTCCCTTTACGCAGAGTCTACTGATTTAAATGTCAATCTCATCTAAAAATACCTTCCCAGCAACTTCTACATGGTGTTTGACCGCTGTGGGTACTGTGGCGTGGCCAAGTGTACGTGTGAAATTAACTGTTCCAGTAACGTTTTGGGGTTTCTCATAAACCTCAAGGTAAGTTTCTCCATTTCCACCCAGGACAGAAGGCGACTTTTCTGGGGTTTCACCTGCCCCGTCCTGTCAGAGCCGTGGTGGCGATGGGCTGGCTGAGGGGGGCCCGGCAGTGCTGCCCCTTTGCTGTGGGGAAGCTGGAGCCCCAAGGCCACTCCGTGTTTGCTGCGGTTGTGCTGGGAGAACAGGGTCTGAGTCATGTCGTGGGTCACAGGCACGCCGTCCCAGCGCTCTGCTCTGAGGTCATAGCTCATGGGTCTCCGAGGTTCCAAGCAGATCTTCCTGTTGGGACTGTCCTCCACACCTCACGCCCTGTCCTGCGAGGTCCGCTTCCCTCAACGAAGCCCCCCGAAGGAAGAATCAAATATGACAAGACCGGAAGGTGGCTTTGCTTTCTTGTCCCCTTCTCCTCTGACTTCCTTTCTTAACCATGGCAAAATGTCGCTTACATTTCAGTTGGTTTATTTTTAACCCTTTAAGTGGAATGTAGTTATTTAAAGATAAATGTTGCTTCATAACAACATCAAAGAGTTTTCAGCGTGTGCGAGGGGGCTGGCGTGGTTCTCCGGGAAACCCGTCTGCCCAGTGTCTCCTCCTGCTCTGGGAGGAGCAGCCGTGGGGACAGAGGGACCTCGCCACGAGACCCCCACTTACTGACTGTCCCCCCAGGAGATACCAGGACATCTCTGGGCCTCAGTTCTTTTGTTTGTTTGAATCCTCCCTCGAGGATTTTTCCATTGATTATTTTTTAAATAGAGTGAGGAGGGAGGGAGGGAGAGAGAGAGAGAGAGAGAGAGAGACATCGATGTGAGAGACACATGTGGTTGCTTCCCACATGACCCCGACAGGGGCCGGGGATTGAAACTGAGGTGCGTGCCCTTGACTGGGAATCAACCCTGTGACTCTTTGGTCTTCGGGCTGATGCTCTAACCGATGAGCCACATTGGCCAGGGCTGGGCCTCAGTTTTTATCTTCATGAATAACATCTTAGAGGCTCGTCATTCAGTTGCAGTTGGAGTCACAGAGCAGATCTGGGGCGAGTTGCTGACCGTGTTCTTCCGTCTGAGAGCTCGGAGCACTTTCCTGGCGCGGAGCAGAAGGAGCCTCTTTCTCTCCGTCGGTGGAGATTCCCCTCGAGCCACAGAGGGGGAGTCTCTCCTGGTTAAGTTCTCCTTTTCCCCCCTGCTGTTCTTTGCTCAAACTTCGTTCCTATCTATTCGAAGCGTTTAGCTTGGTAACAGCCAATGTCCAGCCGCCAAATAGCCTTGCAGAGCCCGAAGAAGCGTATGTGCACCCCACACCGCCCTCGTCGGCCGGCAGCCTCCTGCAGCAGACCTTGCAGCCAGGACGGTCTCGTTGAACCTGGGGACACAGTTCCTCTCACAGGCGTTGCTCCCCCTGACCGTTAGGTGACAAGTGGGACATAGAAAAGGTACCTTAGCATCTGGGAGGAATGGACACCTCGGAGGTGAATGGACACCCTGAATGCGAATTCCAGTTTCAATCTTTCGGAGCATGTGACTGCTGCCCCACTAGTTTGCACAACAGAAGACTGTCACAGGACTAGGTGAATTGGGGTCCAGCGAGTGTGGCCAGCCCGGTCATCTTCAGAGAGCGAACGGGTCCCACTTCAGGCTGAAGCCGCGCCAGGTGGAGCACGTCCCCAGCTGACAAGATGCCCTGTGCGGACTGCACAGCAGACCTGCCAGGTGCTTTATTTGCAAACCTCATTTCTAGCTTATCAGGCTGGGGATTTCAGATGGGATTTTAATATCAAATAGTAAATTGTCAGCACTGAGTCATCACCGGCATGTTATCTTTCAGCGACACTGTTAAGTGACGGGCCACATGGACTCTCAAAAAATTGCAAATTGAGCCTCTCGAAGACCGGAGACAGTGAGGACGTGGAGCCCTGCAAACTCCGTGGGAGGCAGGGCACTGGGTGGGGAGTCACCCACGCATGGCGCCGCCCACGGAGGTGACAGGCACGCGTTTTATGGGTTCTCAGTACAATGGTGCCGTTTGGATGCCGTTTGGATGATGACCAATCCCGGAAGGAATCCCTGGTGAGGGGGAAGTGGTTTGCCTGGGGTCACTGGTCCCCATACACTGTGTTATTGCTCTAACCTTGTTCGCTGAATTGAAGGGCCCCTGCCGTACAGGAAGTGCCTTAAGTTACCACCGAAGGCACTTGAAGTGTAAGGCGTTAGAGGAGTTTGACGTGGCAGTATAAATAGCAGTTTTTATTGACATGAATAACCTTAGAGGCTCATGAAGTGTCACAGACTAGACCTGGGACAAGGTGCGCACTGTGTATCTAGGTGGATTTTTCTCTACCACGTGGCTGGGAACTCAGTGGTTCTTCCAACTATAAAAGAGAGAAAGTTTAGATTTTTTCCAAATGAAATAAAAAAAAAAGAAAAGAAAATGGTAAGAATTTCAGGGACAGTTTTTGCTATTGTTCTGTTTACACATGCTCTGCCTGGGGCTGCATTCCTGGCCCGTGTGGCCCAAGGGCACAGCTGGCGGTGTCGCCTTCGGTTTGGTTCAGACTCGGCAACCTCGGCACTCTGACCGCGTCTGCCGGACACAGAATCTAAGCTCAGACTTTAGTGGTCAGGACCTCAACAGCAGTTCAACAGACACCTGCAAAGATATGAAGACATCTAGCTCGCTAATGAATGCCATTGATTTAGATCCTTGGATAAGGGCAGTGGACAACTTTCATCTTTTATGGACCAGAAAACCACCAGGTTTACTAGGATGGAGACCATTCTTTGTGTGTGTGTGTAACATATCTTTATTATTAAATGTATTACAGATGTCACCCCCTATTTTTCCCCACTGACCCCCTCCTCCCCAATCCTGTCCCTCTCCTGCCTTCCCCACACTATTATCTGTGTCCATTGGTTATGCATATATGCATAGAAGTTGTTTGGTTTATCTCATTCCGCCCCCCCCCCCCCCTTCCCTTTGAGGTTCATCAGTCTAACAACCAATTTGCACTTCTTAATCCTTTCATCTTTTTCACCCAGCCCTCCAGCCCCCACCCGTCTGGCAAGCAACAAAAAGTTCT